CCGTGCAATTGGCGGTGAGCTGGCAGGCGGCCCCCCTGCAACCAAGATAGACTCGGCGGAGCAGAGACCCACTCGCGGCCCGTGGAGAAGCCCACGTCGGGGAAGAGATGCCTGAGCCTTAGAGAGGTCGTGGAGCATGGGATGCACGACGATGAACTGTTAATAATGGAGCTTGGAATGCACGACGAGGTAGTGAGGCATCTGGAGTCCGTGGGACGACCCACGCCGAAGCGAGTGGCCACAACTCCCTAAGAATCCGAGACTGTGATAAAGCCTGCACTGGAGCAATCCGATGGGGAAGCATTGCATCCTGTGGGTAGGACTCATGCTGGAGAAGCTTGTGGATTTTCCTCGTGAGTAGGCGATCCACTGGAGCAAGGGAAAATGGTGTAAGGACTCCTCCTCTTTTAAGAAAGGAGCGGCAGTAACAACATGGATGAACTGACCTGCACTCCCCCATTCCCTGTCCCCCTGCGCCACTTGGGGGGAGGTAGAGCCGGGAACAAAAGGAAAGGGGGGTGGGGAGGTGTTGTTTTTAAGATCTGGCCTTGTTTTCTCTTTATCCTCTCAAGTAACCGGTTTTGTTTCCCTTTGTGGTTTTTTTTTTAAGCAACTGTTAATAAATTGTTTTGTTTTAAGAAAGCCGAGTCTGTTTTGCCTGGGACCATGGTTGGTGGGTGCTCCCTCTGTTCTTGTCTCGACTCTCAGTTCTTTTATTATAAAACCACAACATGAGGCAAAAAAAAAAAATTAGAAGAAAAAAGTAATACATGTTGTAATACTTAACATAAATCTTTACACATTTGGTATAGCTATGATATAGAGGGAGGTCTGGAATAGTAAATTAATCGGTATCTGTATATCAGCCAGTAACTGTTGTACACTGCAGGCCTAATTTGTTCCAGTCAGTTTCTTTCTCCATCCTTTCTACGCCACTGTCTGGGCACTTCTGAACTAACCAAAGCAACAACATCAGGAAAACTTCCGCTACCATCAGCAAATTTGGGAGGGAATAATGGACATCTGAAGAACTGGACCACAGGATAGATATACACACACACACTAAATCCCTTATGTATTATATATATATTCTGTGGACTTGAATCCATTAAGTTCCTGTATTCTTTTTATTCATTTTAGTTTATTAAAGGAGCATTTGTTCAATTATTATTCCATTGAAGACCTTGAAGCAATAGAATAAAACGATGTCTCATTATGTAAAGATTCGCGTTGGCATAACCAATCACTACATCATTAACCATTTATCTGTGTACATTATGCACCAAATAGAGAAAAAATTATTAGAAGTAAGATCCTAAGTATTACTCTTTCGAGTGCATCTTTTCACATTAAGAAAGGGAGTAGCTCTCTTTAAATACTTCTTCTGAAGGAGGTTCTTACCAGCGTTTCCTGAATAACGCCCCAAATGGATCTTAAAAGAACATGCTTCATCCTCTATCCAAAATCCATCATATGATGCATAGGCATGCTTGTCATTTTCTGATTCCAAATCCACATAAAGACTGAAACTAGTAGCTTTTTGATTTACTATGTGAAAAATCTTCCTCAGTCCAAGCCAAAATTCCCCTAAAACACAAATACAATACACAGTCAATAAACTTCTAGAAAAGGAAAGTGTAAGAGAAAAAATGTTTTCTTCTAGTTTTTCTACTGTCCTTCCTGAAACAAGTATAATAAAAGTCTGATAGGCTTATTTTCCTTTGAAAGACTAATTAAGGTGCAGAGTAATCTTCCTACTTAATTGGGAAATCCATGGAAAGAATTCCTATGCTGGCGTCTTTTTTCTCTATGACATTTTTGAAAATTGCCCACATGATTAATTTCACACGTTTATCTTCAGTGCACCTTGGAAGAACACAAAACCTGGATGTGCTAAAGATCCACTTGATTAAACAGAATTCAGCAGTGTTCCTAAGGAGAATACTGAGAAATGATAGATGTTAGCATTGTATGAAACACAACAAAACTCACACCCTGTTCTTGAGATTTGCTGCCTCTGTAGATTGCTCTTTTTTCCCTGAAAAGTTGCCCCATATGAGCTGTGCTTTTTTGTATAATTGAAAAGTTGTGTGCTTTTATTGCAATCCCAGGTAAACTCCTGAAAAAGCAACTGGTTTTAGACTTGCTGCATGAAAGGTGGCAGTAAAGGTAATATCACAGTTGTGTTGGTATTAGATACTGAAATATTTCCATTCTATTTCTGATTTGCGTTCCCTATGGTGAAATGTTACTGATTTTTCTCTGCTTTAAGGACATATTTTGCAAATGTGATTAAAACCAACTAAGGCTTTTTTAAATCTGAAAAAAAAAAAAAAAAAAAACCCAGAGGGAAATGCAATTTATACATTATTTCAGGAAGAAAACATCACAACATTTTAAACATCCCTTTTGAGACTGAAGATCATAGAAGATGAGCAATGGCTAAAGAGTCTAGTAGGGTGATAGTCATTATTGAGAGGATCACACCATAGATTTGATGAAAAAAACCTCTTAAGTAGAAATAAAACTTTTAAGAAACAAGAATTTAGTCTATATACTACTAAAAATCCCACACAATTTAGTGGAACGTAGCTCACATAAAGACAGCAGAAACGTTGGGCCCAAAGCACTTTAGAGTATTTAAAATTAATACCAGAAAGGTCACCAAATCCATCCAGATATTCAGACCATGTTCTCTGAAATGGAATGATTCCATCAGTTCTTTTCTGAACCACAGTCCATCCACCTCCTTGAAAGTCCATGTCACATAAAACCTAAAATAGACACAGATATGATTAAGCATTCTTGAAGCAGCTGTTATGAAGAAAACATTTTAATTAAAGGTGACTAGTCAGAGTTTTGCGAAGGAACATACCTTTCAAATATCTTAACAAAATCTCAAAGAAAATAAAAAATGAAGCTGCAGTATTTTCTTGTATGTTCTTTTCAACTGCTTGATTTGGATATTTCCTCAACCAGTAGAAACTGTTGTGTACAAATGTCTGCTCATATCAGATACAATAAATAAGCTTTGATAAATGTTGCTGTGTATTAATAATAGAAAGAAATGGAAACAACATACAATGTCATGTATTAATCATGCAAAATATTACAGATACAGGCACAGACACTGAATAGACCCTTATTTCAGCAAAGCAAAATAGACACAACTCCTTATGTGCTTTCTCTCCCCATCTTACCTTCTTCCCCAAAAATACTGTGTTTGTAATGCCTGGGAAATGTAGAACCCTTAATAAAGGTGTGGGAATGGAAAAAGTGGTAGCAATAACCCAGTATATAATAATTTATGATAGATTAGCAAAAAAGCTCTAAACAAGAAGGGGATCCAATCCAGGAAAGTCCCAATGTGAACGTTTAACAGCCTGCAACTGAGCAGTCCCACTGAATACTGGAAAAGGGGAAACATAGCCCCCATCTTTAAAAAGGAAAAAAAGAAGACCCAGGGAACTACAGGCCAGTCAGCCTCACCTCTGTGCCCAGCAAGATCACGGAGCAGATCCTCCTGGCGACTATGCTAAGGCACAAAGAAAATAAGGAGGTGATTGTTGACAGCCAACACGGCTTCACTAAGTGCAAATCGTGCCTGACTAATTTGGTGGCCTTCTATGATGAGGTTACAGCATTGGTGGATAGGGGAAGAGCGACTGGCATCGTCTACCTGGACTTATCCAAGGCATTTGATACTGTCCCACATGACATCCTTGTCTCTAAACTGGAGAAACATGGATTTGACAGATGGACCATTCGTTGGATAAGGAATTGGCTGGATAGTTGCACTCAAAGAGTTGTGGCCAACGGTTCAATGTCCACGTGGAGGCCTGTGACGAGTGGTGTTCCTCAGGGGTCGGTACTGGGACCAGTGCTATTTAACATCTTTGTTGGCAACATGGACAGTGGGATCGAGTGCACCCTCAGCAAGTTTGCAGATGACACCAAGTTGTGTGATGTTGTGGACACGCTGGAGGGAAGGGATGCCATCCAGAGAGACCTTGACAGGCTGGAGAGGTGGGCCTGTGAGAACTTCATGAAGTTCAACAAGGTCAAGTGCAAGGTCCTGCACATGGGTCAGGGCAATCCAAAGCATAAGTACAGTCTGGGCAGAGAATGGATTGAGAGCAGCCCTGAGGAAAAGGACTTGGGAGTGCTGGTGGATGAGAAGCTCAACATGAGCCAGCAATGTGCGCTTGCAGCCCAGAAAGCCAACTGTATCCTGGGCTGCATCCAAAGAAGCATTTTTCACTCTCAGGGTGGTGAGGCACTGGAACAGGTTGCCCAGAGAAGTTGTAGATGCCCCATCCCTGGAGGTGTTCAAAGTCAGGTTGGATGAGGCTTTGGGCAACCTGGTGTAGTGAAGTGTCCCTGCCCATGGCAGTGGGTGTTGGAACTAGATGATCTTTGAGGTCCCTTCCAACCCAAACCGTTCTATGATTCTGTGATTCCATGATAATACATAAGATCAACTCTGAAATTTATGAATCTTTATGGGTCAAATTGGTGCCCAACAACATGTCAAATGGCAGTGGTCCAGCTGCTCTCTGTTCTGCTGTGGAATACCACATTGTGTCGTACATTTTCTCCTCAGCCCATTGAACTTTAGACACATAATTGAGTTCCCAAAGTTAGGCATCTTATTGCCCTTGTCTCCCCTGTAATCGTCCTTATACAGAGAAATGTGCATTCATAGCATATCTCTGGGAAATCAAGATCTAAATCACCCTCTGCATATGTCAGTCACCTCCACTTTCTACACAAAGTGCCCCTAGACCCCTGGCTGCTCTGTACGGACTTCAGCTAAATGCCTAATGTTAGTTGGAATGCATCCAGGTCACTCTGGGTATTTTTCAAGTATGTCCCCAGTGCCAGTGTTTGACCAGTTCTGAGAGGGATTAGAAAGTTTGGGCATCCTAGTGTAGAAAGGTGCATAATGCACATTTAGACACTGCACCAGCTAAGCTGTTCAAAGTACTTCTAGGGGATACTATGCTTAACTAGTGTTTAAAAACAGAGGCTCATTTGTGTCTCCCAATGTTACTAAAATCAGGAGAATTAACCTGGAAAATGCTTACAGCGACGGAGCCATTAAGCTACTTGTGATAACAAAAGTAACTTCAGAATATAATGTTGCTTATCAGTAAATAACAACAATAAGCAGATGCACAAGTGATGGAGTAAAGTAGGAATTTTTTGTTCATGTTATAGGAAACGTACATAATGGAATATGTTTCAGAAAAGAGAGATTTGCAATCTTAGCCAGTTGTTAAAAGTAGAGTCTAGGTGAAAGTCAGTCTAACTCTCAAAAAAATTATGGCAGTCTGAGCTTTATGTGTTGCACCTCCATTGCCTGTACCACCCAAACATTTTCCGTAAGACCAAAGACTTTTCCTTGGCAGAAACACACCAACATCATATTCAGAACCTCTGTGACTTAACATCTTCTCTGTGAAAGATAAGAAAACAACAGTACAGAGCTGCAATGTGATCTGATACAACTGGGGCAATCTGGGATCCTCAAGTCAAGGCCATGGGATGCTTTGAGCTACCTTTGCAACTGAAATACTGCAGGAATTATTGTAAGGGTTATGTGCATGAAAGAAAATTATGGGCTTTATTGCTTGGGGAATCATATGATTTCAGTCACCCAAGGAGACCGGAACTGAAATAAAAAGAAATACGAAAGATTCCAAAATGAATACTTAGATACAAATACCTAAAACTCATTAAAAATAATCCCATTGCCTCAGCCACTGTCTTGAGAGGATGACTGCGTGCTTGGCTACGCCTCTCACTGTGAGTCAGAAATACAAAGAAGAGCCCACTTGGTCACAACAGCAATCTTCAGTCCAATATAAATCAGTGGGAGTGTTGATAATTCTCAGAAGGAGCAGATTTGGCTGTATATGAAAGGTCATCAGCCAATTACTTTGATATGACACCAAAACGTACACAGCTAAGTAAAAATATGAGATATACACAAAAAAACAATCATTGCTGTGTCATTTCTTTAATCCTTTATATGCTGGAAATCATGCAGTTTTCTTTCTTCAAGCCTTATAATAGTTAATCCACTTTAGAGCTTGTTCTGTGTCTCATATTGTGTAAGGTATGAGGGCCATGACTGTGCCAGGTGCAATTTAAATTAAATGAGGAGGAGGGTGCTTCTGCTGAATATTTCTTCCCTTTCCATCTTTAGTGTGTATAAGAAGTATATTCCAAACAGTTGTTTAGTTTGTCTGACTCTCCTTAGAAATATCATGGATCTACATTTACTGATTGAAAAATGTATTAGAAAGCAATCATGATTCAATTTTCCAGAAGTGAAATTGGTTTTAATTACCTCATGTTTGAATGCTCAGACAAAAGCCCATTTGAGACTAATTTTCTGAGATGACAAGAACCTGCCACTGCCACTGAAACTGGATATTCTTAGAGCTCCTGGAATTCAGGTTTCAGTCAGCCCAAATTAAGCATCAAGACCTATACTCACTTTTGAAAACATGAGGATTTCCCTGCCCATGGCAGGGGGGTTGGAACTAGATGATCTTTGAGATCCCTTCCAACCGTAACCATTCTATGATTCTATGATTCTATGGAAACCTGAAAGCATGAGAACAGGGTCAAGTTGTCTAAATAGAATCATAGAATCATAGAATGGCTAGGGTTGGAAGGGACCTCAAATAGCTTTCTTCATTTATCTGGTATAATCATGCAAATGATTCTGAAGACATTTTGGTTTCATTTCAGGTACGTTTAAAGAGCAGCTTATTGCTGAAAAGGCCCTCATTGAAATAAATTGTTTCATGCTGGCTTTGCTTTCTGTTTTTTAGCTTCTTGCTATGGTTTTCTGCTTCTTTGTACTTTTCTTATTTTGCTAGTCTGCAGAACTTCCAGAACTCTTGGCTATTAGTCCCTTAAAATGCATTACAATTTCTTGTTTATGTTTTAATGTCTTGATATTTTTGTTCATCTATCATTTCTCTTGTACCCTTTTTACTTCAACACATGCACTAATTTGCATTAAACAGTTTTCCTTAAAATAACATTCTTTACGGAACACACATATTTTAGATATTTTTCTCTGAGAACTTTTTGGCACTATCTTTTCCGTTCTGTGTAACATCTACCAGACAAGAAATGAGACACTCATTTCATGAGTGCAGACGGTTCTTCTCATTATTTATTGTTACCTTGTGTTTTTAATCAAATTATTATGATTTTTCCTTTTGTTTCTTGTTCTCCTTAAGGAACCTTTCCACTCATATATCTGATTTGCAGATTCTGGCAGTACCTTTAAATGTGGAAAAGTGTCAAAAATACTTTTGAAGTGAAAGGAACTTTATCATTTCAGATTTATTTTCCAAAAGCTGTAAGTGAACTGAGAAATCACTTTTCTCACATAGATTAGTCATACCATCTCTCAGGAAAAGTAATTTGGGTGAGGTATGAATATTTCCTCAGTGGAATCCCCCTCAATCCATAAGAAATTGTGAAAGAGATTCACTTTGTGCTATGCTTCATCCTGGGGTGAGGCAGACAGCATTTCCTTCATACTATAAATGTGGTTGTTCTGTCATGTCTACCTGTCTTTGCCTTTCTTTTACCTGGAAGGAACTTGCCGATGAGTTACACGTCTTTGCCCTGAGCTCGCTGCATTGTATAGAGAGAATGACAGGATTTTCTATCAGGGGTTTGCAGAATCAAGTTCATTTTCTTTTCAGATCCCAGCATACTTCTGAAGCCTTTTCATAATTGGTTTGAGCAATTTTTTTTTGTTGTTTTTCGTGGGGTTCCAATTGGCTAGAGATAAAGGGATTCATCTTTCCTTTGTTATAGGAAGACTATAAAGTCAGATATTAGGTTTTGCTATTTATTAGCTGGCTTAAACTCCACAATTTTTCTCCAAAAACTAATGACCTCAGCTTGTACTGCAAAACCAAAGGTTTGAAAGTGCCATATCTGTCTTTCCACTATGCATAAGGACTTTCCTAAGTAGAACACCCTGACATGGAAGTAAACAGAATAAACAAAGTATTCCTTGTGTTTGCATGGATCTGAATGTCCTAAGCCTGAGGAAATTAACCCAAAACTCTCTTCTCCTAGATGAGCACTATAACTGAGCAATTACAGAAAATGCAGGTGCTGATAGGAAGCATGACTGCTGCAGTTCATGCTGAATTTCATCCTTTTCTCTGCCTTAAGAATGTGTATCCTGCAAACTGGATATGAAAACTGAACGTTCAGATGCCTTTCTGCCTCAAGACTGACTTATAATGATGCTCAGACAAGACCTAAGCACCTGCTCCTCAAACCAATGTACATCTGCACCTTTATTTAGATGCCTATGCCATATCATGGTCCAAGCCGTAGGCATTAGCGGAGTCACATCTCAAAAGAAGGTAACGCTATACAGTCCTCCAGCAGAGTAATTCAGAAAGCCAAAGGTCCCACTTTAGGAGCCAAATGGATCAGTCACTTGGCTCCTCAGTTTTCCATCTCCAAAGTAAAAAAGAATGGGACTTCTCAATGTCCAAAAGGGGTTCTGGAAAATACCTTGGGTTTTCCTCTTAGGTACATTTTTTACTGTATATTAAAACAGATGAAGGGATCTTATGATGGGATCTTATGACAGAGATTAAATTTCTTTGTAGAAAATGAGAAACTTGTCAAAATGATAGTAATGGCAGACACATTTGGATGATTTAATACATTTCTTATTCATCTGTCGAGAAATTGTCAAGGAAAACGGTTTAAATCTACTAAATATATTCTAAGTGCATATTCTCAAGCAAATCGTGACTATCCTGAGAGTTACGTTTATTACCTCAAAAGGATAATTTGATCCTTCTGGATGGATAATGTACAGACCAGTTGGAGTTTTTGAAACTGAACCAACGGTATCTTTAATATCAGTGCAATCCAACCCTAGAGAACAAAGTATTTGATCACGTTCATTAGCAAAATATGTTAAAAAGAAAAAAACAAATATAGCTTAAGCACAGAATATTACCTTTCTTGGTAACTTATGAATGACTTAAAATAGCATTTTCTTGTCAGGCAAACTTTAAAATCATGTTTTGTCATGGATTTACTTTATAAATGAAAATTCTCTGAACTCTATTAAGCTCAGAAAGAAGCATAAATTATACTGTATAGAGAAAGTTCTTTCTAATCTTAACGGATATGATACAGAAATTAAAGATTATGTATCTGGGTCATTTTGCAGATTTTATTTGGGTATCACTTGTACTGAGTAAAAAGACACATTATCTGGGGAAGAATATCTTTTTCCTGCAGATATTTCTATTTATACTTGCAAAGACTTTACATCATAATATATACATAAAAACCCCTTTTCTTCTAAGAGTTAAGCTAGGTCTGTGTTACACACACTCGAACAAGCAATTTCTACAGCCAGTAGAACTGCTGAGACGTAACATTTCACATTCAGTCTTGTGAGTATAAAAATCAACAAGATTCTAAACAGGATGCCCAGAATTAGCATTTGCAAATGATTTAAAGTAGTCTTTATGATGACATTCTTAAACAGTTCACAAATTTTCCAGAGTTTATATGTTACTTACACAGAATAAATACTGGAAATGTTAAAATTGCTTACCTTTGCTTTAATTAGTTCTCTGTCAAGATAGAAAGATAAAATGAGGTCAAGACTAAATGCAAAAAACACTTACCATGAGATTGAACTGCTTTGTAAGGAAGTGGATCCAAATGCTTTCTCAAAACTTCGGCGTTCAAAAGAAGAAGTCTGTTCATGAGTTCGTTCACCTGCAAATTCAAATAAAAGATCTTCAATTAGGTTGCAACTAGGAATTTTACATTTAAAGATGTTATTTCTGACTCCCAGTAAACATAATCTGAACTTCATTTTTGTGATGTGTTAGTAATTTTTACCTTCAATAGGGGAATTGGTCTGATTTTTTAATTTTTTCATCCAAAATAATTTTTAGGCACAATTCTGGTTAATTCAAAAAAAGCCATTCAGTTTGATTACGACATTTTATCTGTACTGAAGCACAGTGTTTGTAACTCTGTACTATCAGAGTTAATGATAATATAACACATCATCTGCAGAAATATGACAGGACGGGAGATAGCAATCAACGTGGAGGAACCAAGTGGTGCTTATCGCTTTTTGTAGAAATGGAACTCGCACCCTACCTGAGATATAAGGAATGGTGATAGAGACTCTAATTCTACAGTTTTAATGACAATATAAATGGCTGACTTTCCTCAGCTGGACAATTCTTGTGGTGATAAATAATAAATAAAAATCTTTACGACAAAGAAAAAAGTACCTGATTAGAAAGGTAATCCAAAGAAGACTGTTGATCATCCATCATGTTTCTTACCAGTTTTTTTGTACTTCTTGCATATTCAACAAGAGAGTTCTGCAAATTTCCTTTAAAAGAAATATATTCATCCACTTTGTTATCATAAATCTAGAAATACTCTTGTCTGAATTACACTTATTTGTGATATCGAAGTGAATATTAAAGGTGTTTAACCTTAGGGTACCTAAAAGTGAAACCAAAGTAGGGCAGATACCACAGATTAAAGCCAAAGATGCTTAGAACCTCCGTCTTGCTGGCTGCAGTGAAGACATCTTAAGAAGTGATGTTTCTTCTTAAGATTTGAAGAAGAATGTAATCTTATCATTGGGCAACATGGATGACCAGTTAATGGATATCACAGAAATGCAAATGAAAATAATAAAAGACAGACATATAAGGATTCCTGTCATCCTACTTTACTTATTCACTCTGCTACTCCTTTTTTTTTTAGCCCTGATGCTAAAAATAAATTAAAGAAAAAAGTAAACCTGTCAGATAATTAGTAATACATGTTAAAAAATCATATGGGAAAGACAAGAATTTTGACAATTTCTTTCTGAGGCTGATTACATCATTTCCTATAGTTTGTCCAGGCAGTGAATAGAGAATGTCCTGTATAAGTATCTATAAAAAGCAAGCTGAAGTATAGATTTCCTCTCACTTTAACTAACTAACTAATTCCCACTTAACTCCCCCCCACCTAACTATGTGTTTAAATGAGGGACAGACACCCTATGCTTCCTTTCTAAGGGAGAGAACTACTGACATTCAGAGGGTAAAAGAGATCTAGATGGGCTGAGCTGCAGCCTGGATTTGCCTGTCCTCACCAGTGATTCTAGAGACTAACATGATTAACTTTATCCCACCAGCTGCGCCCCAAAAAGACAGCACCTCAGATTTTCTGAGCAATACTCAGCCTGAGCAGCAGGGTGAAAGGCTCCCACTTGTGCTCAAGAAGAGTAAAAAATCAATTAGCACAGCATAGCACAGCATAGCAGAGGATCACACAGCGTGGCATTGCATAGCTCGTTGCTGACAGTATTCTTTATGAATACATACTGCACATGTAATGTCTTTCCCCTCGTAAAATTTTAGCTTGAACATCACATGGTATGAGGCATTGTTCTTTTTGTTTTGAAATATCTGCAGATTTATTTTTCTCTTCTGCCTTGCGTGGTTCCTCCACAGCTCCAACATTCCTTGTGTCCTGTTGTACCAAACAATGGAGGGGGAAATAAAGTGATCATAAAGCACATACAAAATAGCTCAGTCTGCCAAAATGAAGTAGAACACTCCATGGATCTTCCTCCAAAACTTGTTTTTTTAAAGCTTTATCTAGTGTTAGTTGACAGAGCTGAGACCGAGATGTTAGGTGTCTTCTGCTTAGCTGTACCTCACAAGAGAGTGTCAGAGGTAAAGAATAACCCCTATAAATTTAAAAAACACCACCAACATTTCTAGCATTCTGCCTGCGAGCACTGTGGACTGGAGGCAAGAACTTGCAAATCTTGCATTTAAGAAGCTCACATTTAGGAATCACCACACCCAACAGACATCTCAAATGCTAGCAAAGTTATTGTCACCAGAAAGGAACAGGCTTTTGGATTTACCACTTATTAGCAAAACACTTTCACTCGTGAAAGTCCCTAAATTAATTACTTAGATGCTGATCATAGAAATGCTTGCACAAGTTATTAATCTATGCACAGAAGCACTCCCAAGCAGATTTGCAGATAAACTCAGCATTAAAAGAATATTTTAAATGCTCTTACAGAGGAAAGAATAAAGGGACACTGTTCACAGGCATACAATTCTCTGAAATAGTAACAATAAAACCACTGGTAAAAGTAGTTACACTTAGTAACATTCTTTTAAAATAGTATTTTCATATTTAATATTTTTTCTTCCATGGTGCCATGTTACATAAAATAAGGGAATGCCTCTGACTCATCACTTAAAGAAATGCTAAAAGTAATTCCCGAAATATGTGTCATTGTAAAAACACTGAGACACATTTTCATTTGAGTATTTGTTTGCTGATTCCATAATCTCAGCAAAGCATGGCAATATGTTCATATGCTGTATTTTCAAATGTAAATAGGATCCTTAGAAACAAAGAATGTAATGAAAAAGAAACCTTATTTAGACTTGAATATATCTTCAACAAAATTGTTCTCTTGTTTCTCTTTCTGGTATGAGCATTACACTGGCAAAGCACTGAATGTTTTTTTTCCTGATTTTTGCTTTTTAAAAGTGAAAGTGAAAATTACATAAAACTGTTAACGAGGAGATTTTACCAAGAAAAGGTTTCTGGATTATTAATGTAATGTAATGTAATTCATTTTGTATCTGGAGATAAATGCTAAAGAACTAAAAGAATATGTTTCTTTAATTTTGAAATAAGCATAAAATAAAGGAATAAAAATTCTGTCAGAGTTTTAAACAGATTACTTGAAACTTATAGATAGATCACTTGAAACTACGGTTTGTTCCAGGGCTTTATCGCAGCTACTCACCAGATGTTCAATTAAATACTGTCAAGCAAATATTTTTAATCAATATTTATTTGTAACAAAAGCCAATATAAAACAGGCAATTAAATCTGACCGCAGCAATTCAAGTAAAAACAGTGACTCTGCCGCAAGCAACAGTTACTCTGTGTTTACAGTCATGCAGATGAGATTAAAAATATGGCCTAACAACTGAGCTGTGATGAAGAACATTAAAAGTAAAATGTTCTGAATATACTGAATTCCTACAGTTTCAATGTAGTTTCTTCCCTCTATCTGAAAATATCTGATTCTTCTGTGGTTTTGTATCTATCCTGAATAAAGCCATCTACATTTTAAAAACGTGTCACTTTTCTGAGAAATCATTCATTCAGTTACATTCATCCTTATCTAAGCAAAGTAATTGAAAATCTTACCTTAGATGAACAAGGCTTGACATTACTTATGACAGTCTCTCCCCAGCTGAACAAAAAAATATTAAGACAAATCAATAAAGTTACCCCAAAGCAGTTCATCTTTTACTTGAAGAAATGCAAAGGTTTTGACAGGTTTCAAATTTCCGTGGAAAGGACTGTGCACTATGAAGTCCTGAGCTAACTACTGGAGAATGTCTACAGCACAAGGAGCAGCCAACACATCATTCCTTTAATGCCTGGATTTAATAAAGCACATTTCAATTGCACAGTAGATGTTACATGCTACTGCTTGTATCCTGAGCGCAACTACTGCTTATTACCTTTACATGACACACCATACATATCTTCATTCTGATAAAGCTGCAACGATTTTCTTATATGCTATTTTTGACTACTAGTATATATGTGGTATTGATTAGTCCGGACTACTTGAAAGAAAAACAAGAATTAACTGAGTTTTACAAAAGTTTTTGTCGTTAAATTTTGTCGTTAAATTCACATTGGTGTGGTGGTGGTGCACTAGAACAGGCTGTGGAGGCAATTTTAGAGTACGTCCTAAAAGCAAATTCAAAACAGAGAAATGAAAAATAGTACTTTAAAATAATACTTTGTGTTACATTGAAAATTGTTTACCAGGAGGACAATAGCGCTCTCTCAGTCTCACTGGTAGCCCATCCTTAGGAACACAGATATTGAGAGTGGAACAATCATTCGAATACAATGATTTTTACTCCTGAAAAATGCCGAAGTACAACAGAATGTCCTGAAAAAGACGACGATTAAATGCAGTCCACAGAAACATAAATAAAACTATATAGCAGGCACTTAAAATTTTCACACTCAGATACACTATTTTTGTATTTTTGAAACTGGATATGACATTTTAACCAAAAAACAAATTATTTGGAAAGTTTATTTGGAAAGTTCATAAAGGTCCGACAGATTTTCAACTCCCCATGCACATTAGAGAATTTAAATTGCTGGTGATCTGGCCGAAGGAATGACACCTCAGCTTCTAACATACCTCTGGGAGACAGACCTCCTAAAGGATCGTCAGAACACACTGTTCGACATCACCTTACACTGGTACAGCCAATGTTCCGGATTTGTCTCGATACTGTGGTTCATCTCCATCCCTGTCTGAAGCTGGAATACACCGGAAATAGCTTTTGCTACAAGGAGATTTGAAAGCAGTTGGGAGAGGGGGGTTGATACATTTTTAAACCCAGATTTTAATCCAGTTTTTAATCCAATGTTTTCTTTCAAAATTAAAAATAGCTAAAGGGCACTAAGCACCTGTAACTGGCCGTTTCTTGAGAGGAGCACATTCAGCTGCCTGTGAAATTTTTAACAACTTCAGTTCTTCAGTATATCTCAGAATCAAATTTTTAGCTTGTTCTAAAGTACTGCATGGCACATTACAGTTTTCTAAGACATTTAACTAGTGCACTAGTTGACATTGTCTTAAAGAGATGCAGGTTGTGATCCATAGTACAGGCTCAGGAAAGTAAGCAGGTGGAAAGATTTTCATAGCTACCCATATATGTCATTAAGAGGGAACGAACAGTTTTTATTGCTTTTCCTATGCACAGAAATAGGAAAAGGAGACAAACTTCTGGAAGGAATGGTTAAAATGGTCAGAACCTTGACTGAACTCCTTCTCCTGTGCAGCTACCTACACAGTTAAACTGAAGCTTGAAGGAAAGCTAAAGGGCATTAGCAGATTAATCCCCGCTGGAACAAGAAGGAAAGAAAAATGTGATTCTGCAGCAGCATAGCTCAAGCCTTCAAATAAGTTTTGCAATAAATTCAGAACCCATCCCACAAAGATTTAAGAGCTGATCTTTATCCTTCACTGGAATATCAGTCTCTAGCCCGCAGTAAAATTTATGAAACTTCTTTGAAAGCAGCTGCCAGAGTGGGACCTTCCATTTTGCAGCCACTTGAGGTCAGGCTGCCTGCTGCCTCAGAATAATCATACAGTTCTGCAATACGTGGTCCTCAGCTAGCCATCCTCATCGCGCAGTCTGAAAGATGTGGGGTTACTCAGAAGGAGAAACACCGAAACACCTAGGAGGTGCTATGCAAAAGTAAAAAGGCTATGCAAAAGTAAAAAAAAAAAAAAAAAAAAGGTAAAAAGGAGAAAAGAAGATTATTTTTAATTCTAAATTTCAGAAGATATCTAAGGTGAAGCTGCAAGTTGTACTGGAAGTCTAAAGAAGCTCCAATTCTGTAGGCATGAATTGACCATGAACTTGAATTTTCGTAGGTGTGACACGGGCTCAAATTCTGCAGTTGTTTCCCAGCTCTGATTCAGTCCTGTTTGGGTAACTTAGTCCTCCATATCGATAAAGTCTTCTACTGTATCCTAAATGAAACACAGCATTTTATCAGGCAAATTGGAATTTTAAAAGCGTATGTGGGTTGAAAAGTACATGGAAGGTTGTAGAGTGACAACCAGTCTTCTACCTGCAGCGTGGAAGAGTTCAGACTGGACAGAGATGAATTTGGGGCTGGTACTCTGAACTACAGGTGAAAGACTTCCATGTTAGAGTCTTCTTCTCAACTAAGGTAAATGGGATGTTATAAATACTAAGCACGTTTCACAACCTGAGCATCAGTGGTCTAGACTGTAAAATGGTACTAATAACACCTACATCACAAGCTGTGCTACAAATATGTGGGGGGTTCTGTGAGGAAAAGTATTTTACAAATGCCGAGCACTATTTTTACCCTCCTAGTCAAAGACATAGAACAGCTGCACACTGAAAGAGAGAAGAATTGGTTTAAACTCAAATACAACAGCCAAGAAATGTCTCGCCAGGAAAACACCAAGGCATTTAGCCTTTCGCTGACAGCTCATCCAAGGCATGGCAATATCTCAAGACAACACACCCTGCTTTGCCTGAAATAAAAAATTTTTCAGTCTTAAGAACAAGTTACTTGTTGGGGTTTTTTTTACTTTGTGTAATTTTATTTACTTTTTAACATATTTTTTATAATTTTGTATAAAGTTTCATACAATTTTACATATTTCACGTTTTTATTTTTTGCATTGCGATTTCTGCACCCTGCGGTTAAAAGGAAATGTTTTATCCTGTTAACTCCAGGTCTTTACCGTACACACATTTAACAGACATCCGCGGGGAGCTCTGCAAACCCGCAAGCACCAACGGGCTCACGGAGGCGTTTCCTTTGCTCTGCAAAACTAAGGAGAAACGCATTTGCTCGGATGCCAGTTTTTTACATTAAAAAAAAAAGGCACCCTGTTGTTTATAAAAGTGCAGCGAGGATGCAAAGCCCGGTGAGAGCCAAGCACCGCGCCCGGGCACGGAGTCCGGCAGCGCTGGCCCTGAAGAGGCGGGCAGACGCGGAG